AAAAAAAAAACCGACAAATCAGTTACACTGTCTTTCTAACCGCATATTTCGCTATTTTTCTTTTCTTTTTTTTCAAATACGAGTCGCCTTAAATTTCCACCGTGTTTCACGTTTACGAACAGGGAAGTAGATTTCTTTTGTTTCTTTCTCGATGATATAACAAAGTGAAGTAGAGCGGTGAAACATTGGTCGGTACGTGGTAACATTGGCGACAAACAAAGAAGTGCTTCGAGGTGGCTCTCCGCAGGAAATTGAGGATCCGTGCGGTCGAGAGACGTGTCGTGCTGAATATGTGGCTGCTCCGTCGTTCTCGGAGGATCGACCTCTGCAGGAGGATCTCTCGAACCGAGAAGCCGGTTCCGCAACGCACGCGTTGCCGTCGCGCGCCACGAAGCACACGCTAATGCAACTCGAGCGTTGCGAGGACAAAGGAACACACATCCGACTACGTACATGCAGCGAAACAAAAAGGAAAAAAAAAAGATCGTTGCTTGCGATAATGGTAATAACGCAACACTGGCGATAGCTTCGCGAGGAGAGAGTGCCTCGCGAGTTGTCGCTTTTGACAACGTTTAGACACGTGTCGGAGGTTTTAGAAATATTTTTCATTTTCTGAGATAGGAATTTTTTGTATTGCTGTGTTATAATGTTTTTCGACGAACGTGCAATTTTTTTTCTCCTATCGATGTGCGACAGGATGTTTGGTAACCGCGATTTTGAAATCATGCAGTCATTCTAATTGCAAATTTGCGAAACCGCATTTTTCAGGAGAAAAGAAAACTAGTTTGTCGGTTAATGTGAAATCACCTTTGCGCTGATTTTATCCACTATGTTATTTATTTTTTAGATGGTGGATAAAGTACGTTTAAAGGTAATTTTGCATTAATTGACAGTTTTCTTCTTTTCTGAAAAACTTCTAAATTCTATTAATCGTTTATTTAAATCGGACTTCAAATATTTATTATCGCACGAATTTCTAGCGTTCTGTTACACTGTAGAAGTAAGTTTGTATAAGTAAGACTGAAAAATGGCGGAACATCGCGCTTAATTTTCTTCTCGTACCGTTCTAACGGAGATCAAAGTGAAACCATTGGTAACATGGTATTACAGCTCGACTGGTACATCGAACACGCCGAGAGATAAATGTAAACAGCAACTGACAGATATCAGAAACATAACTCAGAACAGTATTCTCTTACTACAAGCAGTAGATCTCTATATTACACGAAATTTTTCAAAATACTTCAAACGTTACTTCTCTTACGATAACAAATCATACTCGATTTCTCCGTAACGCAGAAAAAAAAAGAAACACCTGACCTACGTAAACTTCCAACGTTAAATCTGACCAACGTTACACGCAAACATCCTGAAAACCTGGCAACATTATCAATAATTAAACAAACGAACCAATATCAAATTGGTTCTCCAAATTGTACATCGCCAGGTTCCTCCAAACGTAAAAAAGTCTCGCGATAAGATATTAACGGTAAACTTTTCTCTCTCTCGTTTACCCAAAAACTTCCAATCGTGAAATTGCACTTCCATATGGCTGTAATCGTTGTTGATTAAGTTCGACACGACGCGAAGTTATCACCAATGGCGAGTTGCAAGCTGTGGGCAGGCTAGAGCAAAAGATAACGAGCATAGCAACGGGCACAGCACACATAATATACATCTATGCATATACAAGAAACACAGACAGAGAAGCGTGAAACAGGAAGGCCTGAGGGAAGTCGAAAAGTCAACGACGATAGCAATACGCTGTTGGTAGAAGTGCGAGGAAAGGAGTGACGTTCAGGTCGCATGATGCGGCTTACCTCGTGGCCTGCTTTTGTACCCAGGCCGATCAATAGTCGCGGCACCAACTTCCGGTCCTAAAGTCCGTCCGTGCTTAAGGTTAAACCAGTCTTTGATTATCCTGATAACAAGGGACACGTGTACTCCTATCTTCGATTCATATTTTCTTTTTTCTTCGATTTTTTCGACAATTGCAACACAGTCGCAGGATCGAAATCGTTTGGAAATTACATCAGTGATCGCGAGTTATCGATTCTCGATTAACTGGCAAACTTAATGCTTCGCCATTGAAGAAACCGTAATTGATATTTGAAAAGCTACCACGAGGAGATACGATTTCTTGCTTTTTTCTCTATTTTTCAACGATTCTACCACTGGATTGTTTTTTTCTTTTATTTTATTTCAATTGTTACTTCTGAGCGATTTTTATTTGGAACAAATTCTTTCTCGTTTCGGCATGGATGAGATATAGATTCGAGCTGGAGTGATCAGTGAAGTAATGCGCAAAACACGACCCCTTAGATTTAGTCGGAACAACAGCAACGAGAATACCCGGGACAGGCGAATATACGAGATGTTCGTTTTTACGAGTTCCCATTTTCCTACTTTCGTTAATGCAAGCAGTTAGTAAAAGTCGAAGGATTTTAGTAGTGATGCATTTTAGTAAATTCGAAAAGCAACGAATGCTCCGTTACACCGTGTAGCGTTTCTTTCAGAAGTACACCAAGTATGTTTTCTGTAATTTTAGTCACGATTTTAAGTGGTTGAAAAAGGGCAGGAAACTGTAACGATCGATTCCTCGACGCCAGTCCACCATCCGTGGCCAATAGCAAAAGCACTCTAACCGTACCCGCGCCGACATTTTCGACCTCGGACCGATCATTCACGACCTCCTTAGCCTTTGGCCAGGTTACTCCGTCATTGATCGCGCTCTCCTCTTTGAATTCCGAATTTTTCTTTCACGCGAACAATACTACCTGGGTGGAAAAGAAGCCGATAAACTCCGTGGAAGGTGCTCTTTCTTCAACGTTGAAACGATTTCTATTTAATCGATCGCGAGGAGTTCTAAACGACTTCGAATCTAAGTGAAACTCTTTGTCAATTACCGCGACGTTAAGAAGCTTCTAAATATTTCAACCCTTTCGATGTTTAAAATCAACAATTTACTTTGTACGAGGTTTAGACAGGATCGTTCTCAATTCCTTGCAATTAAAAAAAAAAAAAAAAAGAAACTAGAATATTATTAACAAACGGTCACGGGCAATTGAAGTCACAAGAAAAGTAAACACACTTGGTCGTTTCAGCGAGCACCGAAAGGGTTAAATAGAACGTCTGAAAAATTCATCGAATACAATTGCAAAGAGAGACTACAAACCCTAGAAGTTACCAGAAAGGATCGATCGAATCGAGTAGTTCAGTGATACCATTGCTTCAACAAGTATTATCGTGAAACGCGATCATCTGTAGAAAGAAAATGTTCTCGAAGGCGATCTAGACAGCAACTGGTCGCGCATCAAATCTCCGTGGACAAGCCAGAGAGCATCGATCCCCCTCTTAACAATTGAATAGACGCTAGAGAAGAGTGGTCGTCCGAGGTCGAGAAACAACGCGAAGAGACGTAGGAGAAGAAGAAGAAGAAGAAGCGAAATAGCGTGTCCCGCGACCGTCACCCCTACCTGCCGACCGGTTTTTCCCCTGTACCGCGCGGACAATATCGTATAAGGCATTACCTTGAGACGATCGAGACGCTCTCACGGCGGTCCTCGATCAGCGGGTCCTTTTTCCTCAGCTCGACCTTCGGCGAAGCGAAACTGAAAGCCTTCTTGACACTCTCGAGGACGCTCTGCCCGGTGGTCTGTGTTTGGTCGACGATCGTTGTGCTTTTGTACACGTCTTCGCCCAGGTCGCCTAACGACCTGTACGAAGCGCCAATACCTGCCGGCATGGCGACGTTCCCGTTCGCTGTTGCTCGCCCACGATGAAACAAGCCTACCAAACTGCTGACGTCTTCAGGACACGGATGGATCCTTGTCCTTCCGTCCGTCACGCTGGATCTCTACCTTCTGACTTGGACCTTTCCCTCCTCGAATAGTAGTCACGTTCCACCCTTAAATCCTCGTTGATGTAACCGCTCCGGCTGAGTCTCTCCTCTCTCGGTGCCTGGTGTTGTTGCGTTGATGAAGCTGATACGCGTGCCCGAAGCCGAGATACGCCAATATCGTGCGTCAACAAGGCAATAGAACGGGCAAACGGGCAAATAAAGAAAGTCCAAGATAAGGAGGTTCTGTGTGAAAGCGCTTGGACTATCGATCGAGGCATCGGCAAAATGCTATTCTCTGATAATGCGCCGAGGGGCTGTCAGGCTAAGTCGAGCCACGGTGACGCCATGAATACGGAAATCGTAATCGTTCGTTTTCTCTCTAACTGGGTGAATTACAGTGTTTTCGATGTGCTTAGAAGGCGGCATTGTGGATTCTCTGTCTGTTCTACGTCATAGCGGAATTTTCACGATTGCTGTTTGGATTGCTAACACTCTGGCAAATGGTGACGCGGTACTGTGTTTATTTCCTGTCATTTATCATGTACTTATCGTGTACATAATTGTACATCAATTGTAAATATTCGATTAAACTTTTTCCCGGTCAAATTTATTACTTGCAATATTTACGAGGTAGTTGTTTGTTGCGTGTAAATTTTCTTCGTTTCCCAATAATTCGCTTTAAATTGGCATCGGTTATTTCGAATTTCTTAAAAATATGAAAATTTCGCTTTAAACGTTCGATTAATATTTCTCCTGGTAATATTAATATTTCCAATATTTATTTGGTAATTGTTCCCAATAACATAAATTTTGAATTTCTAGTTTCACTTTAAATTCTCGTCAATCGTTCTCAATTGTTTTTAGAGTATGAAAATTTCTATACCGCTGTTAAAGAGACATATGCCATTTTTCGAGATATCTCTATGACAGCCAACGTGTTAAGTACGCTGACCATTACGGTCAAAGTGTTAAGCATATATTTCAGTTCTCGTTGGAATATGCTCCCGAATTTCGGGTCTTTTCTAGTCCGGGCTAAGGGCACTCGTACTTCCGTACCAGGTTGGAATGTGTACTTACGAGAAGAGAGTTTTTCGGCGAAATATCTGGGAAACGTGCCCGCCGGGTCAAAGTGCGGGTTTATATCGGGGGTGGCATAGTTCGCGATTCTTTCTCCCTCCTTCTCTGCTGGTTCTTACTAATGCTCCAATAATTTTCTTAATTACTTCGTTCATATAGGTAATTCAATCCGTACTGGTTTCTAGGTCTCCGACGTGTTTAATTATTTTTACTCGAATAATTCATTCCGTGTTATCAGTTTCGAGAAGTAGAATAATAACCAAACAATTTACACCTTAAGCCACCGATTTTCTTTTTCTCCCTCTCTCTCTCTGCCGTTCGATTTTTCTACCAGATTTTCAACTCGCGATCGATATCAGTGAAATTTCCACGGCGAACAGCTGTGTCCACAGTGTCTCTACCTTGCAAAAGTGTTTCAAATCGAGCAAAACCAAACACGATCGAAAGGCATGAGTAACAGACAGTCGTTAATGCTGTGCATCAAGGATGCAGTGCTACGTTCCGTTCGTGACGTCACCGCGGCTGAAAGGACAACTACACCTGTCGTCGCTGGTATAAAATTGCAATTGTACCTTCGATGACTCAACGTCAACGACTTACTCCGAACTACACTCTCGAAACGAAATAAAATACTTGGAATAGCGAAAATGCGCAGAAATGAAATCGTAATTAATTTTCACAATTTATTCCCAATCAAAATGAGAGAAGAAAAAAATCGAAGAATTTCTTCATATAATATAAAAATGAGCAGAAAGCGTGTAATAAATTCTTGAAACGAAGGAAAACTTTATTCCACACTTTCTGCACTGTTTTCGCACAGAAAAATCGTGGCACAATTTTCTCTCCAACTCCTGTCGTGTCCTTAATTCGAGAAAAAAAAAAAAAAAAGTAAAGAAAATTCAGAGACCGCGAGATTGATCCTATCTGCGTGCACCTGTCTATCGTTGATTGACGTTCCTTAATTGGTATCTGGCTAAGAAAGGGGCAGATGTTACGCTTTCAGAACTAATAGGACGTTTCCTGTGCACGCCCTTCCTGGATTCCAGATCTCGATACGCCACTCGAGATTACTTGGTTCTAGATCGATCCTCCTCGCTATCTTCATTCCCACCTCCTTTCAAACACTTCGACGTTTCCATTAGTTTAAATACACTCTTGGCGGTGATAAAAGGCTTCAGATCGTTTGCCGATACCTCGTTGATTCGTCCAGGCGAAACAAAATAATAGAAGAAAAGAGGGTATATGAAAGACAGAGTTAAGAGACAAAGAGAGAGAGATATATAATTTATATGTGTGTAGGTGTGAAAGGGAGTATGGCGTCAGCATGCAGAAAATTCAATGATTCGGTCATTACACATCGAAATAATCATGCGTGGCCGCATGCCAACTGCAAGGTGCAACGCCGTGCGCCTTCGTGAAAACACACAGATGCTCAGAGAGGACGCGAAACGGTGATCAGTGACCGTGTCCCTCCGAAATGCTACTGAAAATCGCGTTCGAATCTCTGTGTACTGTGAAACGGTGCCCGAGATTCGGATGGCGAAACGGTTCACCGATTACACGCTTCGTTGATGGTTTCGAAATTTCGTGGCATACACGTATACACACACACACACACACACACACACACATATGTACGTATATATTCGAAAGTACAGGCACGCACATGCAAAGAAAAAAAATAGGGTGAATACACAAAACTGAGACCTCTGGTGTTCGACGATTTGACGTGCAATCGATTTTATTTCGTTTTTTTTTTCTTCTTCGGTTGGTTTGGTTGTCTGGGTGGAAAATTTCGTATCTCGGTTTTTCCGTTTTTACTTTTATTCGCATGATGTCAAAGCGACAACGATCGATTAATTGCACCGTGTCTGGCCGTCACGGTGGATAATAACGCCTGGTAATGCAAGCGTTTCCGATGCGATCCCGCCTCGAACGGGAGGAAATTTCTACGCTGTCCCGTTATCGGTCGCAAGAAGAACAAAAGAGTAAATCACTTTTTACGGGCACGACCCTCTTCGGGGACCGAACGACGATGGTATTAACGCGAATTTCCTGCCAATTAAAACCTCCAATGACGAAGAAAATTCGTTCTATAACGAAGCTAAGAATCGTCCGTCACGCGTATCTACGATTATCGAGTTTACATTACATGTATGTATATATAGCAAAATGGTAGATATAAAATAACATCACGATGCACCGGGATAAAATTATCAATCGAGATTAGACGCGCGATTGGTTTACCTTTTTAATCGAGGTTCTCCCAAGTTCTATAAATTCTTCAACGAAGTAAGAATGTACGACCCATTGTGCGCTACCCTTTAGCTACGACGTGCTCCGACGAAAAATTCCATTAGTCGTGAAGGTTCGTTCAAAAATACCCATTCTACGAGTGATACTCTCTTAAACGAAATTACATACTACATGCTCCTTTGTATCTCTAAAAAAAATTGATCGAAGATGTTCTTCTTATTTCATTACCTTCTTTATCCGTCGTAGGTAAAGGATTAAAAAAAAAAAAAAGATCGCTCGATTGGAACAAGAATGATTCTGAACGATTACGATTTACAAAAGTATCTATATATGTACGTGCAGAACCATAGGCCGGCCGATTTATATTTCGAGGCCGACGCGCGTACGAAGAGGAATAATCGATAAGGAACAAGATTATAAAAGCGCACGGGTGCACGACGATTCATGCACGGAAATAAACCGATTTCCGTATTAGCCAATGTCCCCTGTCCGTTCTCCGGACCCTCGGTTAATTCGATATTCGAGCGTAACCGTGGAATCCCATTAAACTTTTATTACCCCGATAGAAAATCCCGGTGAACATTAACCGTTCATACGTTCGGAATCACGGTTCCATTCTGATCATTCATACGAATCATTCGAGGTTAGAGATAACCCGCAAACGCTTACGGTGCATCGCTTAACCTAGCTTTGTACGACCGCGTAAACCCAAACTATGGGGATCAGCTGCGGTCTACGACTCGCACACGTATACCCAGCCTACGTATATACGCGCACACATGCACGCGCGGCTCAGGCACGCAGCACACGTATACGCCTCTCGCGGCTGGTCGAGAGAGATCGATCGCGAAGCGCACAGAGGCAAAAGCCTCGTTCTCCTTCTATAAGAGGGACGATTCGTCATTTTCTTCGCGCGATAGATAATTTTCCCCTGTATTCGAAGAAATCAAACAAGGTAACACATATGTCCGCGCGCGTCCGGATTGTGGAGACGCGGAGGAGAGGGTCGTGTATTGATTTTTCGCGTGGATAGCCGCCGCGTGTGTTAACGTCTAACCTCGTTTCTCGACCGAGTGTAATCGCGTACCCGGGCTGACGCTGTGACGTATCGAGCTCTCGATCGTATCGCTGACGGTCGGCGCGACGACGAACGCGAGAAATCCCGCGGCAGCGGCGGGAGCCAGTTTAAAATCCCTTCCTATCAGGGAGAGCAATCGAGATCGATCTCGCGAACCTCTCGACCTTCGTTGCAACGCCTGATGACTCAACTTCGGATAGAGGGACTCGTGAACGGAATTATAACCGGTATAGGGAGGCGATGAAAAAGCGACGAAACGGGAAAGAAATTGACGCACGATCGCGGCACGGAGAAACAGACACACGCGCAAACACGCTCGCACACGGAATAATAGCAAACGTACGCGAGCAGAAAACGTTCGTGACGACGACGCACAGGCAACGACGTCGTTTATACTAATGTCACGGAAGGAATCGTCATCGATCGAAATATTGTGCCCTCGCGTATAAAAATTTTTTTTTTCCTCCGTTACTGCAAACGTATCCCCGGGATATCTGGTTTCTCGACACGAAAAATAACGCGTGGGGACCTACCGCCGGAGTTATGTGACTCACCTCGTCTTGCGCGGCTCCCGCTGCGGAATCCTGGTACCAAAGAAGAGTTGCAGCTTCTCCGCGTCTTTCGAACACGATAGCACGGAAACAGAGACGCGACAGGCGAGTGTTGCAAGGTGCTAGGAACCCTGGTTCCGGACCTGTCCGCTGTTTTCCTTCACGGTTGTCCCTTGCCTCTCACGACAGTTCCCCGGTCTACGGATATTCTTTCTCTTCGTGAACGACGCGACGTTCGGTACGTAAGGCTCGTCGCTCTTCCCTTCGTTTCCTTCGCCCTTTACGACGTGACGTGTAAAAACGCACCACGAGAAAGGAGACTGACGAGAGAGACCGTACCGTGTTCTCAAAGGCACCGCACGATTACTATTGGCCCGAATACACGACTCAGACTACGGACTGGTCAATGGGAATGCGCACCGCTTCGTGCGCGGTGTACAGCGGATCGAACCGGTTACAGACGGTCTACCGACATCTGGTTTCGAGACGGCGGATTTCATTAGACCCGGAGGGATCTCTTTCCAACTACCGAGCAACCTTCATCGGGCTTGGATAACGCCAACTTTCGCTTTATCGAGCGAGGGAGTTTCATAACCTTTCTCGAGCCCAAAGGTCGGCTCTACCGGTTCTGCAGGGATCCGCCCTATCTATCGCGCGTTCGTTCTTTAGTTGCTACAATGTTACTTTGTCAGTGTAGAGTCGTTGCACGCGGATCTCACGATATATACATAGATAATATTTCTTATCTCTTGTTTTTCTTCATAGGTTTGACAGTATTGAATTGTAGAATTTTTTGGTTGAATTTTTATGAATGTAAAGTGAGCTTGATGAATGTGTTAATTTCAGTAGTTGCAGTGAAGTAGAACTTGGAATGCGATTGTGAAAGACAGAGTGGAGCAAAAGTATTGCGTGATAGTAAAACCAGACTCGTAATCAAACGGCGTTTTCACAGCAATTATCGCGTGGCTTAACGGGAATGATTCAGCTAGATCTAGTTTGAGCGGCAACGATCTCGAAAAGAAAGCTTAAGAGCGACGGGGGAAGATTTTAACTCTTGCTGTGTAAGCACGTGTCTGAGATATCAATCTTTTTTTTTTATCAATCTATAGGTTTAACGTGTTAAGCGCCATGTCAGTCACCGGCGACTGACACTATGCCTTCCGTTCAGGCCGCGTCAGTCACACTTGCTGTGTAAGCACGTGTCTGAGATATCAATCTTTTTTTTTTATCAATCTATAGGTTTAACGCGTTAAGCGCCATGTCAGTCACCGGCGACTGACACTATGCCTTCCGTTCAGGCCGCGTCAGTCACCGGTGACTGACACTATGTCCTCCCGTTTCGGGCCGCGTCAGTCACCGGTGACTGACAGTATACTTTTCGTTAGTCGTCTTCTGTTTATAGTTCGCATGGCCCACTGAACGGAACGGTAAGCAAAACAGGCTGGGCGTTTAACGTGTTAAGTAAAATAAAGTTTCGGAAAAGTTTTCGTAAAATTCGTGGAACTGAGAATGTTCAACGTTATCGCGTGAAAATCATAAAAATCTACGTTCTTAAAATAAAAATAATCTGCTCTATTTCCCTAATAAGACTTGATTATTGGTTTTTCAATTTTTTCCCTCCTGGAAGGTTCGTCACTTCCATTTAGATCACCATGCAATTAGCCGGTATCGAATCTCAATAAGAAAAGCGTGTCAAGCCAATTGCTTGGAATATCTAATAGTACATAGACTTTCCATCAGAAGAAATGTCAAAAGTTCAGTTATAATAAAATTACAGCTCACAATGCTGTAATTAAGTAATTTTCCAACCACAAATTTTTCACTCGATCGATTCTAAAATTTGAAAAAGAAAATTTAATGCTCAATTTTGGCGTTATCACGAACGAAAACACTATCGAATTCGCGTTAATTCTTCCGTCGGAAATCGTCTCGAACACTCCCAAAATACATTCACGGGACACCATTGAATAGCAGTCTCCTGGCAAGTTGATCGCATTCAGAAATCCAACTATCAGCGCCATTTTCGAAGTAAATTAGCGGATCAGGGATGGCTGAGACGGTACGAACACATGGATGCTCTTTTGTAGCCCGGTGTTCAGCTCGCTACAGCCATGCCTCGGCGTAATTCCGAGTCGCATTACGCTGTCGGGCGTAAATCTGAAATTCAATTGCATTCTGGACCGTCACGTCCCACTTTCATCCCCGTCTCTTCTCCCGTTGATCAGTTACCATTTACCTCGTTCTCGAGATTAGTCCGCAAGAATCCTCGACCGGTTTCGAACACGTCCCTCTTCCCCCTTCTCACCCTTCAACCCTATGCTCCTCCATGGTTTCCTCTTTCTCTACCTCGTTCGCCAGTCACGTTGTTTCTCTCCTCCCTCCCCCACTCGTAATCGAGTCAAATATGAGAAGAATGGAACAACGAAACGGAAGTGCTCTCCGGAGAGCTTAAGAGAGACGGTCTGTTTTATGGAATTCACTTTGACGCGAGCGAGAAAGATTAAATTTGCGAGGAGGGAGAGGTTCGCCAGATAGGAAGGACGTTTTTGAATTGGTGAACGTGCGCAAAGAAGGTGCGGAGCCGGATAAAATCGCAAGCCATCCACCGTGACGGTGTCGTAGAGAGGGGCGAGTAGACGACACCC